CTTTTTTTTTTACACCTTTACAGTTGTGACAGTTGCAATTAGTCATGGTAACGATTACTACTGAATCAAATGAATCCTGTCCCCAGCTCCTTTCACCAGACCCATCTAGACTAGATGAGAACTATCCAGTGAGGATTCTACTTTCCCACACACACTCTGAAACTAAATTCTCTCTTGAAAATTTGTAAGGCAGCCACTTTGTGCCTTTATAGTCCCCCACCATCCCCATTTTAGGTAGCCAGTGTCTAAGTTGCCTATCAACCCTGTGTACAGAGGGGATAGGTTTGACCCTTGATGTGAAGACTCATTCCCTCTCAGTTGGTATTTTGAGCTACTACATCCATAAATATAGGTCAAGGTCATCAATTTGTAGCAATTTACACTTGCTTCCTTCATCAAATTTTTTTATCTTCCTCTAGTTGAGTTCTGATCATCAAGTCATTGAAGGAAGGTCAAATGGGTACTATTGTTTTTGTGCATCTCCCCCCACTTCATATCAGCTGGATGCTTCATTCTCAGCTCTAGCCCTCAGTGGCTAGGTCAGTGTCTATGGGCTCAGGAGTTCCCAAGTCTCCCCAAACTACAGACCAAACAGCCTTTCCTTTTCTCTCTCATCACAAGGTCGACAGGAGTCTATGGAATGTGGTTGAACTCCGATACCTTCATTGCTGCCTTTCCCCCACTTCCACTCACATGTAGACCAACATGGTTGCCAGAAAGCTTAGATGCCTACTCGTGTGTTGTTTTCTGAGTTTCAGTCTTGGTGGGGAGGGGGGGTGTTGTCCTGAAGGGACTTGAAAATGTGATCAACATTTGTAGACTACTGATTGCAAAAAATCCAAAAGGTCACATAAATCAGAGAAATCCAAACTTGTGCTATTCAGTACCATAGTCACTAGGCACATGTGACTACTGAGCACTTTAAATGTGGCTAGTTTGAATTAAGATGTTTGTAAGTGTAACTAAGGGGCCCTGGTGGTGCAATGGTTAAGTGCTCAGCTGCTAATCAAAAGGTCAGTGGTTCAAACCTACCTGTCGCTCAGCAAGAGAAAGATGTAGCAGCCTGCTTCTATAATGGTTGGAACCTCAGAAACCCCATGGGGCAGTTCTACTTTGCTTCTAGGGTCACTGTAAGTCTGAATTGACTCAGTGGTAATCAGTTTATAAGTACAGATATAATAGGAATTTGAAGACTTTATATATAAAAAGAAGTCATATCAATGATAATTTTTATACTGCATACATGCAGAAAAATGATTTGGCTGTACTAAGAAGAAGGTAAATTATTTAAATTAATTACACTTTTAAAATTTCTTTAATGTGTTTACTAGAAAAAATGAACTGGCAGAAGAATAAACAAATCTGTCTTAGAAGAAGCCAGAATGCTCTTTAAAGGCAAGGATGGTTAAGATTTCCTCTCACATTCTTTGGGCACGTTATTAGGAGAGACCAGTCCCTAGAGAAGGACATCATGCTTAGTAAGTGAAGGGTCGGTGAAAAAGAAGAAGATCCTCATGGAAATGGAATGACCAACGGCTGCAACAATGGGCTCAAACACAGAAATCACTGTGAGGATGGTACAGGACCAGGCAGTGTTTCATTCTGTTGTACATGCTGTACTGAGTTAAAATCAACTTGATGGCACTTAATAGCAATTACTAGAAAAATTTTAATTATATGTGTTTTGTATTATATTTCTAGTAGCCACTACTGCTCTAAGCAGCTGAGTTATTACACAAAAGGCTTAAAACAGCCAAATGTGTCTGCACGGTGCTCTGAAGAGTGTTACATTAAATGTAGTGACCCCTGAGAACATTCTGCCAACAATGCTATCCCAAATGATGCTTCAAAAACTTAATTCCAATCAACCAGAAATGCATAATCACAGATTTAACAAGTTATACAGAATTACTGTGATTCTGTATAGCTTGTTAATGTTAGTGGATATGGTGCAATGGGTTCCCTTTATGCAGTCTTTCCGCTCTTGGGTTTGCAATTTTCTCAGAATAACTGGTTGGGCTTTAATCTGCCAAAGGCTTGGTCAATTTGCTATCCATATAAGCAGCTTGAAAGGATTGTTTGGTGTGATATCTGCCTAAGAGGCTATTCAAGGGTTGGAAGGTTTGCTAATCTCATACACTTGGAATTTATCCAATAGGATTAGTGTGGATTTATAATCCACCTAATGTATTGGATGGCTTTAGTAAAGCCACAACTTGAAATTGACAAGGAGTTTGCCTATATGAGTGGTCAATCTCACAGAAGTTATTTGGGGACCTCCTGATCAATAAGAGCTAGAGAGGAATGTATCCTTTGGACCCAGGGTCCCTGTGCTGAGAAGCTCCTAGAACAGGTAAAAGCTGTGACACTGAGCTGATACCACAAAGAGATCCAGAAGAGGGGTTCAGCAGCAGAGAGAGCAGCTAGGACAATGGCTGTGGGTGAGCCAGCTCACAGAGAAGATGGTAACAGTGGGTAAAATCAGGTCAGCAGGTGGAGCTAAGCCCCTCAAGGCCAAGAGGCCAGCAATGGAACTGAACACCTCTGGGCTGCTGCATTCTGGGCCAATGCAGGCAGATGCCTATGAGAATAAGTCACAAAGTGGGATTGAGCTAGCCTGCCTTTGACAGTGGCAGGTGTCCCAGCTGTGCTGAGAACTTTAACATTAAGGCCAAAGGGAGGCCTGTCCAGAGAGGACCAAGAGAAGGCCCACAGAGGCTTGGGTATACACTGTGCAGGAATTGCCAATAAAAGTTTTGCCTTGAGAGTAGCAGAACAGATACGAAAACAAAACCCATTGATGTGCTGTCTACACCTTAGACATAAAGACAAAAACAAACTAAAAAAGTCCAAGGATAGGGAAAAATTTCAAGCTAACAGCAATTAAAAAATGAGTAGCAATATTAATTTCTGAAGAAAAAAAAGGACTTTGAAGCAAAAGACAACATAGATAGAAGACAAAGATATTACATGATTAAAGGGTTAAGTGAACAAGAGGACATAACCATAATAAATGTCTATGCACCTAATGCAAGAGCCTCAAATAACGCAATTCATGTTCTAACAGGAAAATAAAAATTTTGCCTTGAGAGCTGATGGAATGCTGACTTAATCCTGGCACCAGTCCAGGGTTGTCCCAAAGCTTCTAGTTGTGAGCTAGACCAGTAGGTAAACAAGGGCAGAGCCTGCCAAGAAAAACCATGACGAGACACACAGAGAGAATGAACACAGTCACACCACACCTGACCTGAGTTGGTAACACTTGCTGAGAGACAGACACACCCCTACTGACACCTGATCCATGAAGTGCCCACCCAGTGACACAGAAATGGACATGGGCAATTGGGGGAGGGTGAGCAGGTCCCCTTTTAGATATAAGTAAGTTTCTCTCTACCAAGTGGGGTACTTGTAAGGGTAGAGAGAGAGTCAGTTCACCTTAAACCTGCTCCTATTGTTCATGGCTTCCCTATATACATAATAATGATTTATAATCACCAGCACTTTGCTAAGTGTCTTTGTGGCTGTGCTCTATCAAATCAATACTAGAGTCCTTCTCCTAGCAGTCTCATGATTGCTTGGAATAAAGAGGTATAACCTGTATGTATATATACACACAGTTCAATGGAAATGACATATATTATATACTTCCTCTATGAGATTCTATGATTCTGTAAATCAACCACTGTGCCAAGCAAAAATTTAGGTTTTAACTTAAAAAGTTCACTCCGGATATCTATTATGAACGCAGGCATTTCTGACTGCACATACCTGCTCACTTTTGCAGAGTTTTTCTATATTAGGCTTGAATTTATTCATGCAGTCTTCTGCTAAATTAAGATGAACAACTTGCTGAAACAAAAAAAAAAAGAGAGGGGGAACCAATCATTAAAAAAATTTTAATTTCTTTTTGTACAACTGGGTAACATAAACTTTTGAGATTAGGTGATAAAGTTACATTTAAGCAAGGCAAATAGTTCAAGAAAAAAATATGAGAATTAACACAATACACAGGGGACAATCAACAAACATGAACAGAAGGCAAGGGGTAGGTTCGTATTGAGTTTGAGAGTAACGAGAAGAATGGTAAAGCCCTAGGAGTTCAATTGAAAAATTATGCATTCATATTACTGATTCTAGACTAGGGTTAAACATGATTTAAAAAAAATGCGTAAAGTCTTTCTTACAGTGATCTGTAAGAAAGACTGGAGTAACAACAAAAAAAGCAGTTTACACGACTATACAGCTTACCTGCTCTCAATTCCACTAACACATAACTATCATTTTAAAGAAACATGCAATACAACACCCATTCATCAATCCAGTATGGAATTTCCTTATGATGTTGATAAATAATAAACTTATTTTGTTTGGCTTCGAAACAAAAACAGAAAAGAAGGATTAAGTTGGATTTGGAAAAATCTAGATGGTATACAGTGATCTGAAGTGTTACATTGAATGTAGTCACCCCAGAGAATGTTCTGCCATTTTTTTAAAAAGTTTGTGGAAAAAATGTAATTCAAAGATAATGAAAATTTTCCATATATTTTTTTTGAAGTTCCCTAGTATAGAAAATGTTGATAGAAAGCTTAGATATTATGGGTATTTTCTTAGACCTAGAATAAGGTTTTAGTAGACAACTAACACCCAACATTCCATGGCACATGCTGCTAAGTCAGATTACAGGACTGGAAGGATCAGTGAAATAAAAAGGGTAAGGCATCTCATGCACACATACTGCTTACCTTAGTAATCTGCTTACGGAAATGCGGCATCTTTTTCATCAGTTGGGTAAGAGCACTAAGTGATGTCTAGGAAAAATCAAACTTTTTTTTAAGGCAAATTTTATTTATCCTGCATTACAATTCTTAAATCCTGAAGTTTTAAATTATGACCAAATCTTGTTAGTTCACTAAATATTTGGCATTAAAAAAAAATGTTTATTGTGAATTATGTGATTGTTTACATGGGAGAACATTAGCTTTACATTTATCCTATTGTATATCATTTCATTGCCATGGTTACAATCCCCTCCATGCATCATCAACCAAGCAAATGGTACACCCTGCAAGCCTGCCCCCAAGTCATCAGCACAAAGCCCCTCTCCCTCTCTGGGTCTAAAGTCCCCAGCTGCTCCATCTCTCCACGTCATTGTCTCTGCCTGTATCTCTGGTGTCATTGCTTCTCTGGGTAGGGTCCCGCTCTCCACTCTTCTCCCTTGATGGTTCCAGGGACCTCCGCTCCTGGACTGCAAAGTCAATCACTCCCCTCCTTTACATTCACCTTTACATTTCCAACCCTCACAGTCAGTCCTGATAACAATTATTCACCATTATATGACAAGGGACCTATCCCCAATCTCCTTTCATTAGCCCTGCCCAAACTGACTGGATACTACTCAGTGGATTTCTACTTTCCTCTGTGCCCTCTAAATCTAGGCTACCTCTTGAAAGCTTGTAAGCCAGTCACTTCTTGCCTTTGTAGAGCCCCCCAACTCCCCATTTTGGGTAGCCAATGTCCAAGTTGCCCATCCCTGTCTACTCTATATATGGAGGGGGTGAGAATGATCCTCGCTGTAAAGATTTTGTTCCCTCTTTTGAGATACTGCATCCATAGGTGTAGATCAAGTTCATCAAATTCTATCAGATTACTCTTTTTTTTCCCTCTTCTTTCTTCTTCTAGTTGAGCTCTGATCATCCAGTCACTGAAGCCAGGTTGAGTGGGTATTATCTGCAAGTGTGGGTGTTCTTATGCATATCCCCTCTCTTCTTATCAGCTGGAC